ATGGCCGCGGCGAGGAGGGCGGCGACCCTGAGGGCGAGGAGGGCGGCGAGGAGGGCGGCGGGGAGGGCGGCGAGAAGGGCTCCTCCTCCTCCTCCTCCTTCTCCCCCTCCCCCTCCTCACCCCACTCCTCCTCCTCCTCCTCCTCCTCCTTCCTCCTCCGCCTCCTCCTCCTCCTCCTCCTCCTCCTCCTCCTCCTCCTCCTCCCTCCTCCTCCTCCTCCTCCTCCTCCTCCTCCTCCTCCTCCTCCTCCTCCTCCTCCTCCTCCTCCTCCTCCTCCCCCTCCTTCCTGCGAGGAGGGCCGCGGCGAGGAGGGCGGCGAGGAGGGCGGCGACGGGGACTTCCGCTTCGCGCGGCGCTTCACGCCCGAGGGTGTGCTGCGCGAGCCCGGGGAGCGGCGGCGCTTCCTGGAGCAGCTCGTGCGCTGGGAGGGCCACTTCGTGCGCCCGGGCGCGGGCGTGGCGGCCAGCGGCCTCACCTACGACGGCTGCCACATCCAGGGCGGCAAGACCTGCGCAAAACCACTGCTCCAGGCCCAGACCCCCTCGCGCTGTGGCAGAGGTCGCGACGGGAGGCCTTTTTGCTCCTTTCGGCCTCCTGGGGCCCTTACCGGGCCTTGGAACCGTCAAAAAACGACTCAGGATGAAAAACCGGTCCCGGGGAAGGGGTCCAGACTTCTGGCCGACGCTGTGAACAAGTCACGACGTCGGGGGTCTGACGGCTCCAGGCCTGGCCCCTCGGCCCAGCAGCGGTGCACGCGCGTGCCTCTCCCTGGCCACGAGCCCGGAGGGCGCAGGCGCCGCTCCTGGGCGCCCAGGCCCGGGCAAAGGCCTGGGGGCAGGGAGGCTGCACGCATCCCGCCGCCCTGGCGTAGAGGCAGACGCCAGCCTCCGCGTCAGGACGCACTCGAACCCCTCCAAGGAGGCCCTGCACCTGGCGCTGCTCTCGCTCGCCGTGCGACGCGCGGGCCTCGCCGCGGGCCTGCTGCCGCCCGCGGAGGCCCTGCGGCAGCTCGAGCGCAAGGCGGCCGCGCTCGAGGCCTTCCGGGCCGCGAGCCCGGACAGCCACGGCTTCATGCCGTGGTTCGATGCGCGGGGGGCCGGCGGCCCGCTGGAGCCCTGCGTGGCGACCAGGTACAAGTCAGGGGAGGGGAAGGTACCAGATGCTGCTGCTCGTCCCGGAGAGGCCTCGTCGCCACCGCAGGACTCTCCTCGAGCTTCTGGCCAGAACGCACCCCGCGAGAGGTCTGAGGAGTGACAGCATCGGCGCACCTCTGGTTCCCCAGCAATGGCCTGCTGGGCTGGTCGCTCTACGGCGCCGTGCGCGCCCTGCGCGAGGCCGGGCACGCGGCGCTGGCGGACCGCCTCGACGCCCACCTCGAGGAGATGCGGAGCTGGGCCGTGCGCCTCTGCTACAAGGGCGGGGGCCGGGTCGCGGCGTACTTCACCCCGCGGCCGCGCGGCGCGGAGCCGCTGCTGTCCGAGCAGGACTGCGAGGACCCCTTCGCCGGCGAGGTGCTCTGCCTGTTCTTGGACCTGCTGGCGCGCTGGGAGGGCGGAGAGCACGGCGCGGAGGCGCGCGACGCCATCTGGTCGCACCCCGGGCGGCGCCGCTGGCTGAGCACCAGCGTGCTGGAGCTGGGCGAGTGCGACGGCGACGGGCCCGGCCCGGCCATCGAGGCCATGCTGCACGGCACTTTCTCCGTGCACGAGGAGTGGAAGTTCCTGCTGCTGCCCTACACGTCGGTGCCCGCCTGCCGGCGGCTGCTCCTCGCCTCGGAGCGGGCGCGCACCGCCTTCGCGCGCGCGAGGGGGCTGCCCGGCATGCTGGGCGACTGCCACGTGCCCGAGGACTGGCGCGGCGGCAGCCGCGGCGGGCTCGAGTACGTCACGAGCTTCGGCATCCCCGCCCTGTCGGGCCTGCCGGCGGACGAGGCGCGCAGCGACGCCGTGGCGGCGAGCGGCCCCTTCGCGCTGCTGCTCGCCGAGCCCGCGCTCGGGGCGGCCTGGCTTTGCGAGACCCTCCGCGCCTGCCCGGACATGCAGACGCCGTGGGGCATGGCGGAGTCGTGCCTCGCCGACGGGTCTGCGGCCTGCCCGCTGCTCACGTGGGACACGAAGGCGACCACGACGCTCGCCGCGCTCGGCGGCCTCGGGGGCATGGTGCGGCGCTTCCTGGAGCAGGACGGGCTCCTCGCCCGCTTCGAGCGCGTCCTCGGGGCGCTGTACTCCGAGTTCGCGGTGCCCTGGCCCCTCCGAGGGGAATCCCTCGACTTCGCTCCACCGCCAAGCGTGCCGGTCGACATCGGCGGCGCCTCCAGGGAGGAGGACCCGGCGGGCTTCGAGAGGGAAATGGTCAAGGGCTGCCGGGGCGTGGAGCTCCCGCCCTGTGACGAGCGCGCGCTGCGGGCGCTGCGCGCTTGGTTTGAGCGCCACGAGGACAGCGACCCCGACGCGCCCTACTGCACCCCGTCCACGCTGGATGACTGGTCCGATTGGTTCCT